TATAAATCTGAAGACTTCCTAGACGCTGTACAGGACAATTTTTTAAAACAACTAATTACAGAACCTATTAGAGGTGACAATATATTAGACCTAGTATTAACAAATAAAGAAAATATTATCAGAGATATCACAGTAGGGGAAGAACTAGGGAACAGTGATCACAGAGAAATCAGGTTTACCATAAATTGGGAAACAAAAAATAATGACAATATGGTCAGAGTCCCAGACTTTCGATCCGCGGATTATGAGGGGTTAAGAAGGTACCTAGGATGAGGTCGCCAGGGAACAGTCAGGTCAGTCCCCGGATGACCAAAAAACTTAAACATGACATAGGAATAAAGAAAGGAATTTATAAGAAATTAAAGGGCGGGGAGAAGCATCTCAGAGACAGGTATGATGAACTCTCTAGGAATGTTAAGAAAAATGTAAGGAAGGGAAAAGAAGGACTACAAAATCAGGATAGCAAGAGAATTCAAGGCGAATCCCAAGGGAGTTTTCCAGGTATATAGAACACAGGTCAAGGATAGGATAAAGTGGGGTCTTTAAGGGCAGAGAGAGGGGGAGTGATCGATGATAGCGGGAAATAAGCAAAGCATTAAACAACTACTTCTTATCAGTTTTCACAGAAGAAATTCACGAGGAAATGCCAGAGGTGGAACTGACATTTAGGGGAAAGGAAGAAAAGAGACTAAAGGATATCACTATCAGAAAAAAAGGATGTTCTTAAAAAGATAAATAACTTAAAGAAGACAAAATTCCCAGGGCCGGATGAAATTTTCCCTCGAGTTTTGAAAGAGTGTAAAGAACAGATTAGCGGACCCCTCGTAAATCTATTTATCAAATCATTAGACACAGGAGTTGTGCCAGACTTGTGGAAACAGGCAAATGTAGAACCCATATTAAAAAAGGGAGACAGCATCAGCGTCAAATTACCGGCCGATTAGTTTGACGTCAGTAGTGGGGAAATTTCTTGAATCAATTATAGCAAATAGCATCCGATCGCATTTAGAGAAAAACAAATTAATCTACGACTCTCAACATAGATTTACAAAGAGAAAATCGAGTCTAACAAATCTGCTGACGTTTTTTAGGAAAGCCTATGAGGTAGTAGATAATGACGAAAATTACGATGTTATTTACTTAGACTTTAGCAAAGCATTTGACAGAGTACCGCATCAGAGACGTCTGAGAAAAGTTAAGGCACATGTTATCGAGGTGAAAGTTTTAAATTGAATACAATCATGGCTCACAGATAGAACACAGAGGGTCAGCGTAGATGGTTTTATATCTGAGTGGGGCTGTGTAACTAGTGGGGTTCCCCAGGGGTCAGTACTGCGCCCACTCTTGTTCATAATCTACATAAACGATCTAGATACTGGGATCAGCAGTGACATAAGCAAGTTCACGGATGACACCAAAATAGGGCGGCAGATAAATTCAGGGCAGGATGCAAATGCACTACTGGGGGATTTAAATAAACTGCAGGAGTGGTCAGAAAATGGCAAATTATATTCAACACCAGCAAGTGCAGCGTACTTATTATTGGAAGAACAAATACTGTCAATGTAAACAGCCTTAACAACATCAACCTGGAGAAGTCGACTTGTGAAAGAGACTTAGGGGAACTTGTAAGCCCGGACCTACGGCCTAGAAAGCAGTGCGTTAATGTTCGAAATAAGGCAAACAAAGTATTAGGTTTTATATCTAGAAGTGTAAGTAATAAGAGTGCAGAGATCATTTTCCAATTATATCCTGCGCTAGTCAGGCTGCACCTCGATTATGCTGTTCAGTTCTGGTGCCCGTATTATAGAATGGAATCAATTCGCTGGAGTCGGTGCAGCGAAGAATGACGAAAATGATTCCAGGACTTAGAAACCTTCCCTATCAAGATAGATTAAAAAAACAAAATTTGCATTCCCTAGAAAGACGAAGAGTGTGGGGAGATATGATAGAAGTATTTAAGTGGGTGAAAGGAATCAATAAAGGAGATATAGATAAAGTTCTTATAATATCCGAGCAGGATAGGACTCGTAGCAACGGATTCAAGTTGGATAAGTTTAGGTTTAGGAGGGAGATAGGAAGAAACTGGTTCACAAATAGGGTGGTAGACGAGTGAAACAAGCTTAGCAATTTTGTAGTAAGTGCTGGAACGCTGGAAAGTTTTAAAAGGAGACTAGATAGATTCATGGACGATAGAGAGTGGTAGTAACTCTAAACAGGAGCTGCCGTGCACAGGCCAACCAGCCTATTGCAGACTACTTATTTTCTTATGTTCTTATGTTCTTATAAGTCAAAGCTCCACATGACTATTTCTCCACTCGTCACTACTGGATATATTTCTGTTATGTGCTTAAAATATCATGGCCTTTATGATAAGAGGAATAATAAACATAACAGAGAGCTTCATCTTATTCTTTATTTAGTGAGAGGTGAAGAGGGGGAAGGGGGAGGCTTTAACATAAAACATCTAGTGGTGACAAGACCTACCATACAAGTGTAATATATGCGAATTGGACAGCTAACTGACTTGACTGACTGACTGACTGACTGAGTACACCTTATATACAACAGATGGATGATACCATGCCGTCTTCATACTCAGTGAGATCTTGGGAAGTATCCTTGAACAAATACACTATGTTATAACGGAGAGAGAGAGAGAGAGAGATCCTTACTAATAACTCCTAAATTCCTAAGGCTCCTGAACCTGTGGAGCGTCATCGTAAAACATATATGCCTGTAACTAGGATACAACGTAAACAGTTTGTGGTAATTCGATCCTGTTTCGTTGAGACAGGAAAGTAACCAAACAATATTCTGCTTGTTTTGTTTTTTTAAGAGCTGTAACCGGATTTTTATTTTTATTATCAGGATTTAACCAAAGTATAGAACGGTACTAACAGACAAGACCATACAGACGGTAAACACGACTGTTGGGATGCTTTATGACCACGGTGGCTCCCCCTGCAGTGACATGAATAAATTTTCCTTTTTTATTTGTTTTATTGTGGCGATTATCATGTCGACTAACAAGCCATATTTAGTTCAGTTATAACATGTTTAGAGGTGCCTGTGTTTGAGGTTCATTATCCATACGTATAAGTAACACTCTATACAAATTTATCAATGTTATGACAACGAGCGTCCTTCAGTTACATTCATACCCACTGAGTCACCTAGATTTTGCTTCGCCTTGTTCACAGTGAGCAAATGATTGGCCCACTGAAGGGATTAAGGCACTGTAATATCGTTACTTCACAAACAGTCACACTGACCGTTATATTTACCAATTTTCTTCAGCAATGAAATAGTTTCTTTGTTGTTGAAGCGCAGAGTAATATTTTATTATATAACAAGTTTTAGCTACACAACAATATACTGAGCTAGTTCTTGGTCAGAGGTTCCTTTATCTCACAAGGCGATTCAAACAATATTAAGAGATTTCCCTCCCCATTCTTTACTCTCAGTTAATGTCTGCCTTAAGCCCAAGGAAGCCAGCAGACCAGTGTGGGCTTCCTCTACATCCCGAGACGACAGAAAACATAATTTTATGCTTTCTAAACAAAGAGGACCACGTCAATATTTTGTCCACTTACCGCGAAAGGTTCTTCTCACCTTAGACAGTAAAATATATGGCTTTACAGTATTTATAGCAAGTTTGTGCAGTTAAGTGTATTATCAATCGTGAGTACCATGCATTTCTTAGGTCACCCTGACAGTGATACCTTTGTCCTTTGTCACAAGAGATCACCAACTACAGTTCTCACATTGCCGTTTACTGTCTGCTAGGTTATTTGTCTGACCAAATTTTATCTTGTATCCGGGTGACGGACGACCTGTTCTGTCGACAAAAGACCAGCTCGTTTTTACAGATAACATTTCCGAAATTTATTAAAAACATTACGATATTAGGAAGTACAGTAGCATTATTATATCTTACGTTTATTTTTGACAATTTAGTATGAGTCATGTTCAAAATGAGAATAACATTGGTAGAACAAAAGAGAACGTAACATTAGGAAACCTTTCCCTCGTGCCCACGACACAACGACTCTGTTACCATCATGGAATGGTCATCACTATACCTTACATTAACACATAGCTCTCGCTGCTGCACATGCACAGTACATCATTGCACAACATATCATAGCACAACATATCTACGTCAGTCGTCACAGCGGTGTGCGCCACAGTTTTGTCCCATATGTCTTTTCACTTTATGTTAACATCCAGTTTGTCTACTGAATGTGGAATTGTCGAGTGGACGCATACAACAAAGGCTCCCAGGTTTGTTAATACAGTTTATGCTGTGACACACAAGTGAAGTTTGTAACAAAGATCAGACAACTTATCGACTTTGGTGATATAAACAGAAAAACTCGATGTGAACTTTCTACACCTGGAACTGTTGAGTGACCGCCACAAAGTACTCTCATTTTGACCGCGACACTTTATTGTGATACTAATTCTTGATTACTTAAACTACCCAGACGGTTTTGCCAATGCTTTGAGCATTTTTCAAATTTTAACACAAAAAGCAGTAAATTTCTTCGAGGCCTTAGAAAGGTCACAATAATTAAGTAACTTTACACAACACTCCCCCATTAATAGCAAGTCCTACTTAAAAAAAAAATCGAAAAAAAATGAACATGATTATTTAGAAAATTGGTTGTTTTATATATATTTTTTAGTTTAAATGAACGTGGGAATTTACTGATCACACAGCTCCAAGATCCTTGTGGTGGCAGTCGGTAGTGGTGGTAGTAGGTAGTGAGGAAGTAGGTAGTGGCAGTAGTAGGTATTGGGGAAGTAGGTAGTGGTGGTAGCAGTAGGTAGTGGTGGTGTGGTGGTAGCAGTAGGTAGTGGTGGTAGTAGTAGGTAGTGGTGGTATGGTGGTAGTAGTAGGTAGTGGTGGTATGGTGGTAGCAGTAGGTAGTAGTGGTGGTAGTAGTAGGTAGTGGTGGTAGCAGTAGGTAGTGGTGGTAGTAATGGTGGTAGTAGTAGGTAGTGGTAGTAGCAGAAGTGGTGGTAGTAGTAGGTAGCGGTGGTAGCAGTAGGTAGTGGTGGTGGCTGTAAGTCTCCACTGTGTTGTTCGGAGACCTTTGGACATTGTAACAAAAGGAATTTTTCGTTGTAAAAGACATTTGTTTCTTTATCTGCGTCACTTTACGGAGTACAGAATCAAATACTGTTGATTGAAACACATTACGGGGGAGGCTGGCGGTTTGTTCCATGATTTAGATAAGAAACTTGACCTATGTTACAGATCATCCTCTCCACTTGTTGCATTGATTTAAAAGCAGTTTGTTACTGAACATTATTTACAACATTCGTTGTTTGGATGCATAATTATTGGTGCATACAGTATTACGAGGACCACGGGAATGCCTCTGGAAATTTGATGGAAAACTACAAGAAAACACGAAATGTGAACACATAGGATTACCTCTGATTTGAATCATTATGGAAAATGACGCCATCGTCAGGCAGAACAAAAGTCTATAATATACAAAAAACTTCATGGACATATATGAGTGAATAAAAAACCTTCTCAGAGCAGAGTAAAAAATAGACACCATCTTGGAACCATTCGTCTGACCCGTTGTGACAACATGAACACAAGTTACGCTTTGAGGAGAACAGAGTTGCGGGGACAACCTGGGCCCTCCTAAGGCGAGGTGTGTTGCTTGGGCAGCTGGGCCTCCAAGACGAGGTAAGAGGGCAGCCGGGTGAAAAAATAAATAAAATAAACACCCAGATGGAACAACAACTGGTAGTCTCGCGGGAAATATAGGAATCTTAAAAGTACCAAAGTCCTGAGTCTTCTCCTCAAAGGTCAAGAGGAACTCTAACGATCGAGTCTGTCTGAAGTGACGGACCCAACCAACACGGTTTTGACTCCAAAATTAAATTCCCGAGTGAGAATCACTCACGGGATCAACAAGTAATTTTTTTAATAAGGTACATAATCTCTTCATTTGGGTGAGTCTGTTTGCATAGTTGCGGTTGTGGTGTGGTTGTCACTTTTATTCTTCCGTCTGATTCCTGGCGTAGCTACGCGTGTCCCTTTCTTCACGGATGGGGTCTTCTGGAGGGGTTCATGGGCGGTCTCGTTGGTGCCACTTGCTCCACTGCCCACCTCGACACTCGTGTTGCTGCTGAGGCTGGACGCTGATGCGCTGGGGGAAGCGCCTGGAGCTTTCGCCATCAAGGGTTTGGGTTTGTCATAAGCAGAAGTTTGCTTCAATACACCTTTCAAGGGCTTATCATAGGGCTTGTCTGTGTCTTGAGTTACAACACTTTTGGTGACATTTTCCTTTTTCACTGACTTTCTGCGCTTTATCGTACCGGTATTCTCACTCTGTTCGTAAACTGTTCCCGTGTCCGAGCCAGAGGTGGTGGATGATTGCTGCCGAAGAGCCACTGTATGCGTGGCCGCAGGCGCAGGTGTAACGGTGCCTCGTGGCGCTGATCTATTAGTGTTTGACGCACCTACAAACGCTGGGGCTGTTGCAGTAGCCAGTGCAGTTTGTGCTGCAGCTGTAACTGCTGCTGCAGTGTTTGGTGCTGGTACAGATGTGGTACTGCTCTCATAAGTTGGACGTGGTCGTCCTTGTTCTGGGTGAGATGACCCGTCCCCGGGAGAATGATTATTTATCTTGCCGAATGTGGCAAGTGGCACGCGAGGCACTCGAGGTCCACCATACCCGAAGATCTTGGTGGCATCTCCAGGCTGTGGGGTGGTGGGGGTTTTAGGAGGGGAGGGAACTGTGCTATCCTTATACATGTATGTTGGCTCGTAAGTTGTGTACCCACCGTATCCTGGGCTGCCGCCTTGATGACAGTAATCTGTTGCTGCTGCAGGTCTTCCAAAATCCAGGGCAACAGCTGACAGTCCATATTCGCCCGTAGTTCCAGAACGAACATACTCTGTTGTGCCTCCGGTACGTCCGTAATCTGAAGTTCCGTCGGTTTTACGAGATCGTGTTCTGCTGACAGTAGCAGTGGCAGCAGGCGCTCCATACATAGAAGCTGAGGGCACTACATCTGCACCCATTAGATAAATATTGTCTACTCCGCTCAGGTCACACGAGTCTGTAGAAGCATCTCTTCTTGGGTTTCTTTTTTTACGGTAGACTACGTGAACTTTGTCCTCCAGTTCTTGTATATCATGCGCGGTGAGGGACGTTGATCGAGGTGGAGGAGGCGGTCTCATTTTTGGTAAAGTCGCAGCGTGTACGACTTCGGGTCGGTCTGGTAACACTTTAGGGTAGTTTAGTTTCTGCATGGCTACAAGTGTTTGTTGTCGGTCAGCAGGACTGCGCTGGTCGTCTCGCCCATCAGGGTCATCTCGCTCCGTCATCGTCATCTCTGGGGTTATGCCCCAAGTATATTCTGCTGTGGGTAAACTTTGGCAGCTCGCATTCTTTTTAAGACGCTTTTCTGAAGAAGTGCTCTTGATGGAAGAACGGGAAGCTGTGCTTTTCACAGAAGCACGCGAAGTGTTACTCTTGATCGACGCTTTAGAAGTGATGGAAGTTGTGCTCTTGGTGACGGCCTTAGGAGGCAAACTAGCGCCCAGCGTGTTGAATTTGACAGTGGGGTTCTTGGCATGCTTGGAGCGCGAGGGTCCTGCTTCCTCAGCATGCACGTGCACATCTGCTGTCTTCCCAATCTCACTGTATATGGAGTTCTCGCTCTTGTGCCGCTTGTGTCCACTCTTTGGACTCTTAGTACTCTTGAGGGAACTCTTGGGAGTCTCATGTTTTGACGCTGTATCATGCGCCGGTTGAGAGTGTTTCCTCCTCATTGTTGACTCTCTAGATACCCCAGATGCTCGAGACACAGAGTCAGAATGTATTTCATCACTCACTTCGTAATCAGATCGACTTCCTTTTTTCCTATGCGTTCTTTCCTTTTGAGTGGTAGAAGTAGCGGCGTCAGAGACTCTCTCCTCAGAATCCTCTGCTTTACGCGGTCGAAGTGTTTTCCTTAATAACCTCGACTGATGTCTGATCTTATCCCTCTGGTAGTAAACGCCGCCCATGGCACAGCAGTTGATAAACAGTATACAGATACCCACCACTATGACGATGCTGATGGGAGTCCCCGCAACAACTGGTGGTGGGGGTGTGGGGGTAACTGCCTGCGATTCCACTGGTTCTTCTGGGTATGTGTCTGGGTAGTCGGGTTTCTGCGGCGGTTTCGGCTTCCCCGGTATGTGCCAGTCATTGTCGGGGTAAGTGGGGGGATGTTCAGTGAAGGGGATCGGGAGCGTAGGCTTGATCTGTGGAGAAGGACATTAACTGAACATGATCAGTATACTACATATGAACAAAAATAAGGAAGTACTGTACTTAATGAACAGCACAAGCAATTAGTTGTTAAGAGACTCAATGATTCGGCACATATGGTTGTTTTTAGCGGCTGTGTACAAGAAGCTAACGTGTTAGAAAACAATATTTTAGGCATAAGGTGGAAATATCTTTTATAGCAAAAACTAATATATTATCAATTATTGGTACATATCAAGAATGCCTTAGTCAATCTCGTGGTTACTAAGCACTTCTGGGAGAGAGACCGTTACAAGATGGCTTAAAGGGTCGGCGTGGCTTGATAGTTTGCCCTTCCCACATTAAACTCTACTGTCTCTTTGTTTGAAGTTCTTAAATATGGACAGAAGACAATATTGTAACCTTAAAAAAATAGATTCACTGTACAACAATAAGTTAGCAGTTGGTATCAAGGTGTGCTTACCGTGGGCACCAGCGTAATGGTAGGGGGCGTGGCACCAGGGGGAAGGGGCACAGGAGGACCTTGGTTTGAGCTGATGAGGTTGGGGATAAGGTTGTTCCAGAGGGCTATCGGTTGGGCACGGTAGTGGTGCTTCATTACCACCTGCATGTCTGTCAGAGAAGAACCTTGTCAACACTCATCATCCAAACACATTGTTAATGACAGAATTAACAGAGTTAACATGTTAAATGAATCAGATAGAATGAGGCAACTGACACTGAATCACACTTGCAGGATTTTCAATGGAGTATTACCGTGGTTATCCATCACAATACTGTTCTATGATGTTTACATGAAAGAAAATACTTATTTATAGGGGAAACTACTTTATTTAGACGGGATGATGTCGACGTTTGTCCATGTCTTCGTCCATTTGTATAGAACCCAATTAAGGTACCATCCCCACGTTAGACGGAGGGCGTGTATAACATATGACATCTTAATTGGTTCATTAACTAACCAGTTGTGTCTTGGAGGTCAGCACACGACAAGACACGACCGTCTGGGCAGTTAAGCTGTTCTTTATATCCACAATACACAGCGAAAAAGAATCTGTCTCAGCTTGGTTCATGAACTAGTTTGGTGAACTCTTTTAACTTGTGTCACTTGTGTATAGTCTGGTCGAGAGTCTACTTTGGTGTTAACATGGTTGCCTTGGTGTATCAGGGGGTACCCAGGTGTACCCTGGTGCACTAGGGTGTAATATGGTGCATCCTGACGTACTTGAATATACAGATGCGAACCTTAGAGTATCTGGGTGTATAAAGACTCACACGATAAGTATGCCTGTTATAAAGTCTCACAATGTACCTACTTGATTTTAGGTAAAATACAAAAAGTAGCATCAAATTAACAACTATCTTCAGACGCAAACGTATAGTCTCCGTGTGAAGTTAATACTAGTGCAAACTTTTGTAAATCCAAACCTGAGGAATGTCTCTGTCGTCAGTAGGAATGTTAACGCTGTTGTCAGCTCACGAATCACGTCACAATAGATCCAAACTCGATGAAATTCATCAAAAAACTAAAAAAGTTTCTAAAGGGACTGAAGAATTCGTCAGACTTGGAGACTTTTTCGCCAAATTAGCAACGCTGTCAACTCTGTAATACGTTACCTATATGAAGGTACTGTTGGAGCTGCTTCTCGTAGGGCGGCCACATCATCTTCATGTTCTCAACCCAGTTAAGATTAGAGCCCGGTGTCTTGTATTCCTGTGGGGTGGGCAGGTTGGGGTTCCTGCCGGGGTGGGGAGGGAGGTGAGGTAAGTCCTGTTTACTGAAAAACCAGTTCATGGGTTCAAAGTTGTCACTATAGTGTGTTCAGAGTCTTGATGTGTGTGTGTTTGTGTGTGTGTGTATGTGTGTGTGTGTGTGTAAGCAGTTTAGTTTAGTCTGTAACCAGTATAGCAACCAGAGTATTATACACTATGTATGAATAAGTTTTCATTATGCATTTTACATTGACCCGCAGGGGTCAAAGATGTTTTCACAGCAAGAATTAAGCAAGCATCTATTTAGCCGACGACTCCACTCCCGGCTACCCAAGCTCCACCGACATGCCGGCACCTAAGGCCCATCCGTCCACGTCAGGGGTACACATGTTCCCAACCGGCCAGCCTATAATCAGTCTATTACACCACAATGGATAGCAACGCTACAGGACTGCAGGTACTCACCTGGAACATAAACGGCTTACAAAACAAGTTTGGTGCCCTCAAAACCTACGCCTACACTGAAAATATCGACGTGTTGTGCCTCCAAGAAACGCGGTGTGCTGCTGGTACCCATGTGCTCAGTGGCTACACATGTGTTGAGAGCCCATCCACCGCTGTTCCTCGCATCGATGGACTACCACGAGGCCATGCACGTGGACTGCGGATCTACGTCAAGAAGGATGTCCCCTACCAACCTCTCGACGTCCCCCTTGATGACGACACCACCGACATACACGCCATCACAATCACACTAAAAGGTATGTCCCTCAATATTGTCAATGTCTATGTGCCTCCCTCCACCCCTACTGTACCTGTCCTACCACACCATATCACCTCCACCCCCACCCTCCTTGTGGGGGACCTCAATGCCCGACACCCCAGTCTCGGCTCCCAGGGGATGACCCTGTACCTGTCGGGGTAATCCTTCACCCACTCCTACACAAACCACTGATGACCCTGTACGTCTTCTCTGCCCTCCATCACCCACCCACATCGGGGGAGGGAAACTTGACTACATCGCCCTCTACTCTGACCCTCACCGCCCACACTCCACCCGCATCCTCCACTCCCCCCACAGTGACCATTTCCCTATCCACACTACTCTCCAGTACGTGAGAATACCCCCCCACCCAAGGGCCCTAGGCTCAGCCTACCCCCTGCCAACATACCTGCCTTCATCACTACCATTGCTGAATGGTTTCAGGATTACACTGTCACCACCGCAGACCAACTCTACCTTGATCTGTCCAAACAATGCACTACCCTCCTCCGCCCTGCCCCAAAACACCGCCGCCCTAACCGCCAGCCCAGGAGTCATTGGAATGTTAACCGCGACCCTTATGTTAAGTCCATCCGAGTATGGCACCGACTAGCAGTCGACCAGTGGAGGAAATCTCCCAGCTCCCCTGACGCTCTACGCTTCCCGATGCGCACAAATAAAGAGCTCCAATCTGCCATCACTCTCGCACGAGAGAAGCAGTGGTTCGATTTTGCTTCTTCTATTGACCAATCTACATCTATAGGTGATATATGGCGCACCATTAACCGTGCCCGGGGCATCAACGCCAGACCCGCGCTCCACCCCAGACCAGCTGCCCGAGCCGAGGCGCTCTCCCAGACGTGGCAGGAGGCCGCCTCCATTGATGCACTGCCACCCGCTGTACGGGATCTCACCCTCGCACTGCAACCACAACGCCGACAGCGCATCTCCGAGTACCAAGACATATCTGCAGACACTGACGTGCCTTTCACACAGTGTGAACTACTAAATGCTGTTAAGCGCGGCCGGTCCACCGCCCCTGGCGATGACGGCGTCACATATGAAGTGCTAAATGCCCCTATTGCCACCCCTGGTAACCCCCTCCTCTGTCTATTTAACCTCTCTTATGATACTGGTCAGCTGCCTCACTTATGGAAGACTGCCACCACCATCCCAGTCCCTAAACCAGACAGACAAGATGAATATCGTCCAATCTCCCTCATCTCCTGCTTCTCAAAGATGATGGAGCGCATGATACGCCACCGCCTCCACTGGAAAATTGAAGCCCACCTGCACCCTGACCTCTATGGTTTCCGCCCCGGAAAGAGTACTGCTCACTGCATCGCTCACTACATGGCGAACACCTCAGGCAAAACCTCCCTCTTCGTCGACTTCAAGGGTGCTTTTGATAAAGCCAATAGTGAAGTGATCCTTGAGGGCCTCACTCACATTGATGTGAAGGGCAAAATCCTCACGTGGATTGCTGACTACCTCTCCCGTCGACAGGTCCGTGTCCGGTTTCAGGGCCACTACTCTATGAGCAGGGACCTTGATCTTGGCACGCCTCAGGGAGGTGTACTCAGCCCTACACTCTTTAATGTACTCATGAACTCCATCTGCCGCCTCAACGTCATCTTTGCTGAGCGCCCTAGACGGTCACATCATAAGCTACGCTGATGATATCCTCCGCCAAATTACTACAGAGCAACATGAACAACCTATACTCTCCACGTTCGCCCAGACCTGTCAAACACTCGGGCTAGTCATCTCACACACTAAAACCAAGTTCATCTCACACTTCCGGCGTCAGACTCCGCTGACTCTGCAAGGACAAGACATCGATCAAGTACTACCCGTGCGAGCCATTACCAGCGCCACCACCTCCGCTGTCGCCGCCCCCGTCATCTCCCAGTGCCGCCAACGAACGAGGCCCCTCCAGTCCCTTACCCACGGCCTCAAAGGAGCCTCTGTCAGGGTCCTACGTCTCATCTACATTGCTATCATCAGAGCTGTCATAGATTATGCCTCTCCTGTCCTTGTAGTTGCCTCCCAACGCGAGAAACAAAGCATAGAGAAAATCCAAAACAGAGCGACGAGACTCATCCTCGGCTGCCCTATGACCACCAGAAGAGAAGTCATGCAGCGTGAACTAATCCTGCTTCCTGTCTGCGATCGAATTACTGCTCTCAATGCCATCCTTGGTGTTAAACTCCTTCGCAGTGAGAAACCGACTTCCCCTGTCTCGCTCACTGAACTCACATCTTGACTCCCTCCTGCGCCGGCCTGCCCCCACTACCTCTTCCCCCCTCTCTCAACACTGGCCCGTCCACACTGCTGCTGACATCCTGCGTTACCACCTCTACACCCCCTCGACCTCTCTCCCTCCCGAGTACACTCATCCGCCTCTACCGCCGTGGACCTCCCCGTGTGTTGATGTTGTCGTCCACACCTTCCCTGGTCATAAATCCACCCAACTGCGGTATATGCTCAAACTTAACTGCCTTGAGCAGATTGATGATGTCGCCTCTTCTCTTACGACCTCCCTCCCTCCTATTCTCGTCTACTGTGATGGGTCTGTCACCACGCTGGGCTGCGCTGGGGCAGCTGTGTGGATTCCTGAGCGCCAGGCCCGCAAGAAAATCAGGGTCCCCGACTGGGCCTCCTCCACTGACACTGAAAGCATAGCCATCCTCGCGGGCATTCATGAGGGGGCGACCTATGCTCGCACTGAACGCCGGAACCTCCTGATAATCAGTGACAGCACTAATGCGCTAGCGAGGCTCAAATTACCCTCCCCCCCCTGCCGCCCAACACACCCTAGCCGCCGTCGCCAGGCTAAAACAAACGGATGACATCCGTGTCAAGTTTATTTGGATCCCGTCACATATACTGTAGGAATAACTGCCTGTGACACTGTTGATCGACTTGCCAAAGAAGCGACACAAGAAGAAGATATTGAAGCCACCCTCGCCCTCTCCCTGAATCATCTCAAATCTCGCATACACGCCACACAACGAGAAGCATTCGACGCAAAATGGACACACCTGAAACAACGGGGCAGCGTCACACTATGCCACTATGACGCTGTAACCGGTGACTCCAACCGCCACTACAAAGAGTATCAATCTCTGACTCGATCTCAACAGATTATGTACATGAGACTGCGCCTAGGGTACAGGTACCTATGGGAGTACATTGGCAACCCTGAGCCTGGCCGCACTGTTTGTAAACTTTGTGGTCAACCCGACTCTCACACCCTCTCTCACTACATCCTCACTTGCCCTATGACCTCCTCCTACAGGTCCCCAGCCGTTACCAACACCTCTTCCCTCCCTGACCAGATATCCCTCCTCCTAGTCACTGGCCTGGCACTTGACATTATTAGGGACCTGCCACGCTTTGCTATAAACAGATGAAATGTACCGGGAATTTTCCCCCCTACACACTCATCATTCTGTCACTTTATGTAACTTGCTGACAAAACCTATGACCCTTCAGGCTTCCACGCCCTTAATGCATGAGTCATAAAGGCAAGCATGAACTTCGCATGCTTCCCAGTTGGGCACTGTAAAGCTTCTACGCTTCACCTTGCACAGGTTGTAAGGGGGTGCCCAACAAACTAGCCCCCTCCGGGGCAATCTGTAATCTATTTAGCCTGCTCAGACGCAGCTGTTTTAGTCACGTACACGGTCTGGCGACCAGAGATGTCTCAATATGACGCTATCACCTTTGAAGCTTATTATTTATTTAATTAATGACTCTTACTTGATAATTAGAGGCATTGCTTATTACTTGTAGACTTTCAAGTATTTGATGTCAATTATTAATTAGCTTAGTTAAATATTTCCAACGTCAATTAAGGATGATTCATGGCTCAAAGAGAATATTTTCCAGACAGCTATTTCAGTAACGCTGCTGACACTGATTCAGGTGTTCATGCCAAGGAATTGACTCATACCGACCCTTCCTGCTTGTAGAAGCTTCTAGAAGCTTGAACCCATGCATCATCCTTCGTGACGTCTATATTAGTTAGCCCCAGGGTGGGTCCGCCCTGGAAGAGCTAGGCAGTCTTTAGCTGGACACCACCCAGTTCTGATCTAACACTGATCGTTTGAAGGAGAAACCACCTCAATCCTTAACAGATCTAACTTTGAGTATAACCTCAGAACTAGAATCTCCAACACTGCCCTCGCCTCAGTCCTAGATCAAGTGGTCAGCCTCCTCTGTAGATACAAGTGTAAATATATGTACATATAACGACTTGTATCCGTCCACCCATCTCAGTAAAGTGAACTAAGATAGACTTTTGTGAACGATTCTGGAAACTTCTGTATATAAGTGTGAGTCTTCAGGAGAAGTTTGCATATATATGTGTGTGTTCTTTAAATCATAATTAACTTCTAAAATTGTCAAGAAATATGTTGGAGTAAATTTTGCACAGATATTCACATGATTCCAGGAAGTTAAGTCACCAGATAAAAGTCATTAGTCAGGGGCAGTAAAGCCACTCCAGATTATGTAGCCCACGTAAGAACGCCACTATGTAACCTATGTAATAAAGCCACGTGTAACATGTACTAAGGTGTACTTTGGTAACCCTACTGTACCTTAACGCCATTATACACCTTACTAAAATACAGAGGATGGTTTTGTTACTTGGTGGCTTTATAACCTTTAGTACACATTTGAAGGGAGGCTTCCTTAGGGTGTATATTTCAGGGTGTTTTTTTTAAACTGATGGCTTTCTCACCGGTGGCTTTGTTTACAGCTCCCGGCTTGGTTGTGTCGTGTGGAAAAGCGTGTGTGACAAGACTTACCCTGACCTGGCGAAGTTGGTCAAGTGGGTCATGACGAGTTCGGAGAGGAAGACCTCGTCCAGGGTGTAGTTGAGGCCGAAATGGTTGAAGCCGCCGACCAAAGGCGCCCCGAACACGTAGGGCAGCTCCTCTCCGTGTACCGTCCCTTGTAACTAGACACAGAAACACTCCATTAAACACTTAGTCATATTTATTAGAAGGATTCGACAAGTATGGAGATGTATTTGGGGTATGGGTGTTTACAGTATCTGCCATTCTGTAGTGAACGTAGAGTCTTACTCCATCACTCACGACCCGTTGAGGTGACTGTTATCATGAGAATGGTTGAGAGAATTTTCATTAAAAGAAGAGGAATATTAAGCTTGCAAAAGTTCTTGCACACAATGCAATTTTCCTTAACGAGTTACGTTAAAAGTTGCATATTTGAGTAAGAAAGTTGAGCCATTTTTGTGTTGGCAACTCGGCTGGATATTGTAGACGAAAAGTGTTAAAGAGGACACATGCCTTATTTTATCCTTATTTGAGGATGTTTTTGATGATGCTTTCTATTTCTTTCTTTCTTATTTTAATGCAAAAAATAGTGAAAATCATAAGATGTTAATTTTTGTTTTTGTTGTCGTTACAGCCACTGGATCTATCCTTGTTGTTTACACCGTCTGCCTCTCAAGTTACGGACACCTTACTGCAACACAGACAGAAGGCCAGGTTAGTGAGGTTGTATTACTGTATGGTGGTGTGGGAAACGTTTAGCTTATCCCGTGTGTGTGTGTGTGTATGTGTGTGTGTGTATGTGTGTGTATGTGTGTGTGTGTGTGTGTATGTGTGTGTGTGTGTGTGTGTTAGTAACTGAAGAAGACGAACGAATCACCTGGCAGCTGTACTAACCACTGGGTAATCGCCGTAGATACTCTGGTGGTTAAAGACGTAAAAATAGCTCCTCTGGTTAATGTTGGAGTGGAGGTCGGCCATCTGGATAACTGGAGCAGTGATCTGGGCGTCACTTAGGATCTCCAGCGTCTGATCTCTCACCTTCCGTTCGTCTTCCAAGGGTGACTGATTCCATGGTGTGTACTGGTTGATTACCGAATAGTAGATCTGTGATGCCTGTGTGAGAACAGAGAGTGAGAAAGAGAGAGGGTGTGAGAGATGATGCTGACGGGTGGTGTTGTGGAGGTGTACTGGGTGTTGTGGAGGTGTACTGGGTGGTTGTGGAGGTGTACTGGGTGGTTGTGGAGGTGTTACTGGGTGGTTGTGGAGGTGTACTGGGTGGTTGTGGGGTACTGGGTGGTTGTGGAGGTGTACTGGGTGGTTGTGAAGGTGTACTGGGTGGTTGTGGAGGTGTACTGGGTGGTTGTGACTGGGTGGTTGTGAGGTGTACTGGGTGGTTGTGAAGGTGTACTGGGTGGTTGTGGAGGTGTTACTGGGTGGTTGTGGAGGTGTACTGGGTGGTTGTGGAGGTGTACTGGGTGGTTGTGGAGGTGTACTGGGTGGCCCCCAACGTCTAAGAGCGCTTTTGGTTTTTAATACAAAGTCATTGACAATGATTTTTTTCCATGCCTGAGAGCCTGAACTGCTGGAACGAGTCTCTGAACTGCTGGAACGAGTCTCTGAACTGCTGGAACGAGTCTCTGATCTGCTGGAACGAGTCTCTGAACTGCAAATGTCTCTTTGGTGTGGTACAGTTTCGATCAGGAACATAAAGGAAGTTTTGTTACGTAACTGATGTAGGAAACACGAAGTTATGAAGGAGGGAAAGAAAAATAGTAAAGAAGGTATGAGGTGGTGAAGGTAGGGAGTGAGGGAGGTAGGGAGTGGAGGAGGTAGGGAGTGGAGGAGGTAGGGATTGGAGGAGGTAGGGAGTAAAGGAGATAGGGAATGGAAGAGGTAGGGAGTGGAGGAGTGAGGGAGGTAGGGCGTGAAGGAGGTAGGGATTGAGGGAGGCGAGGTGGCCCAGCTGTTGGAGGCAGTGCTGCCGGCCAACTCGTGCTCAATTTCCCAGCCATTTCACCATTCTCGGCTTCATTTCCTAGCGATTGTGGGAGCGATGTGCCGGGAACCTTCTCGCCCCGCTACCACCACACCAGATGATCGCTACGGATTTTTCAGAGTGGCGTGTCTTCATGTTGAGTCTCTCCTTTGTGAAGACTTTTGTAAATATAAATTATTTACCTGCAGACCAGAAACACGGTATGGAAAGTTATGGTGTGTGTGTGTGTGTAATAATAATAATAATAATAATAATTAACGGTTTATTGAAAGAGCATAGCAGCCAGAAGGCTGAAAATATACAGTTACATAATTAGGGAATGGGTTTCGATTTTCAAATAACATACAAGTAACATAAGTGATACAAATAAGATATAAAATAACTAGATGGGGAAAAGCTCAAACTACATGGCATTTCAACATAGTGTGTGTGTGTGTGTGTGTGTGACTATCGCATCAGTTGCATAACTTTGGTACGGATAAGTAAACAGGTCACCTTGGTTTCACTACACCTAATTCGACCTTCTCTCAACTGTGTCACCGTTGCAATATTTTGTGCCCTCTTGGTAACATTTCTCTCTGGTTACACTTAGTAAAAATTGACAAAGCTTCAATCTCCATCAAAATTGGTTGTTTCTACTTACACATTGACCCACTCAGCTTGTTGTGTATTATTCAGGCGACACATTAGCTTCTGGAGGTAAGCTGTATTTGAGTGCAGTGTCCATCTGTTAGTAGTCCGATTAGTTTTTTGGTTAATGTGTGGCACAGAAAATATCCGTCAGAACAATTAACATGTTTGCAGTCACAATGTGTTACCATGTTTCTATGTAAGTTCACTGTACAGTCACCCCAAAAACTATCTATACATAATTGTGTTGAAACAATACGACACAACAGACGAGAAGTATTTTGACATCCCTACCGAGACAACAGGAGTCACAGTGTTCATTCTGAAATTCATCGATCACCCCAAGTACAGATAGTTTTTTGAGTGACTTTAATGTACTGTCTTCATCCCTGGTAATTTCCATACAACCATGTTTACTTTTGTGGTTTTACCGACAACCCCCCTCCCCCCTCCCCCCAAACAAAAAACAAGATAATCGAGGAGCCTCACCCTTCAGGAATATATGTTTAGTTTACTGTGTAGTTTGTACTTTAATTTTATTATTGAAATATAGAAACCAAAGCTAGACCCGAGTGACTTTAAGTTATATGTAAACTACTACAAAGTGTTGTCTTTTATTAAACCGTAAAGTGTTGAATAATATTGTATTGTTGGGTGAAGTATATTACTCTATTGTATGATGCGGCGTTACGTTGCCTTATGATAGGAATTTGTGCATTAATAACAAGAAAGTCTCTCTCAAGGTCCTGACAAAGACATGAGCAATGTAAACCTCACCACCACGCAGCCTCACAGTGCCTCGCTAAACCAGTTAAAACCTCGTGTTTACTTTTGAGATTAATCAGTTTTCCTCCTTTTTCCACCTAGATTTATGGGTCAATTTATCCTCATTATGATTTTTGTTGAAGCTCCTCTTGTACGTGATGATAGGTGAGTTAGTTTCCCGCCGGAGATTCTGGTGTTTATGTGTGAGTGGAGGAGTTAGAGGCCCGTGTACCTCGTTAGTTCCGTCTGGTGCAGAACGCCACAGCTCTGTGATTCACAACATAACTCGGATTTACGGCGGCCACTGTTAATTTTAAGTGGTGTGTTTATCTCCCAAGAACTTCACACACACACACACACACACACACACACACACACACAAGTATATTATAACATACACATACGTTTTTTCTTTTTACTCAAGCAAGCAATCTTTTGTAATTACACCCATTCATTAAGGCGCGACGCTCATTTCCATCGACTTAGCCACCCATACATACATACACCTATATTTAAACCCACCCACCCACCCACCCACCCACACACTTACCCGCTCTCCCTTACCCACACACACACCCTGATCCTGACTCATAAGCCCCTGCCCACACACACCCTCTGCCCCACCCACTCAACCTCCTACACACGCACTCACACACACATACGGCCTACAAAATCCCTGTAATTAAAGACCGAATTATTTAAATAAGTTGCCGTGCTCTCAAGGCGGTGTTTTAGTGGGTCTTATATTACGGGGCAGAGTTATGGCGTCCTGCCTGAAAGGGACTATTATGCAGCCGACAATTTCATTAACATAAAGGAAATATGAAGAAACAGGTAATACCAAGGTGCTATATACAGGCACCTAGGAACCTGCTTACAGTTGTACTTGAATATCAGGTGAGCAGACACACGCACGTAAAGATGGCGACACGTTCAGCTTGTCGTTCTGTTAGTACTTATTCAATCCCAAAACAGTCCTGGGTAAGTAGTGTGGGTGAAATATCTCGCGTCCATGTGGCGTTACAGCAGATTGATGAACTTAACAGCCAACCAGCGGGCCTTCTTCAGGTTACGATGAGAGAGAGAGAGAGAGAGAGAGAGAGAGAGAGAGAGTGTACAGTACATGTGTGTGTTAACAGGAAAGAAAGAAGAAAACTGAACATGCAGGCGTTAACCATTATAGTATCTACCTGTGAGTTGCGGACATAAGTTATTTTTTTTAATTTTTGATAATTTATTAATCACGTATTGACTTGCATTTGTAAACACGCTCACTGGAACATTAAGGTGGAGGTATTTACGCTAGAGTTCAGTCTTATCTACAACAAAAACCTTATCAAGCTCAGTGTGGCTTTCTCTCCGCAACACTGAAAAATACATGAATTAACGCAAGGATACGAGTAGAATTTATGCAACGATTAATCTTAAGGAGAAATGTAAGAAGGAGTCAGAAGAGCCGAGAATGACGGGAGAAACGAGAAGTAAGCAGAAATAATGTCTTAAATAACAGGAATAGTCAGAAATAAACACGAATTAAAGCGACAATAACGGAAAATTAAGATATAAACAGGTAGAAAGGCAAACTATGGCACGAGGGAAAACGATAACTCAAGTGAAGGGACGAGAATCATGTAAATTAATACACAATAGACCGCGGAAATACTAGAACATCTCAACGTAATGTCCCGATTGTTTAAAGCCACGTTAGGTTAAATTACTTAAAAGTATGGTTAGGTTAGGTTAGGTATCCTCGAAGTCGTTTAATGTTGTGATATCGTTATGTTATCCTCCGCCATAATGATTATACGTAGTTAACAGTACGATACCGGAACGTTGGAGAGATTTGGTTGAAACACACGTCACTGACAACGGTATTTTTTCCGTAACTCCAACTCGTTAATGTACCGATATTGTAACGTTATCCTCTGTCATAAATATTAACAAGAAAGCTAAACGAGGAGCTAAGTAAATAAAATAGACTAAATAAGGAGAAGTAAGCAATGAAGGTACAAGTATACTGCCTCGTTCATTGGCTGGGATTTGCATATTCAATACCGGTAAGTTTTCGCGAGGAGGAGGAGGAGGAAGGCGACTAGACTCAGTTATACACAAACTTATTATCGTGACGGTCTCTCATTTATCTTACATACCTACTCCCTCAGATCGCCATTGTTTATATATTATTCTCAAGAGGTTAACTAACTAACTAACTAACTCACTAACTAACTAACTAACTAACTAACTCATACATGTAATAGAATAGAACGCTTTTACATCCGTTAGTCTCAGTGCAATTTAGGTGGGATTTTAGCTTCAGTTTTAATGGGTTAGTTGGATGCGTTCTCACATCATCAGTTTTTGGGAAATATTAACGTGGAAAGTTTTGAGTCTGTGTTCAGCCCCCAGCCTCTCAAGACGCCTCGGGAGTGAGGGGTGAGGAAGAGGGGTGAGAGGGAGAGGTAAGGTGAGGGAGGGGAGAGGTAAGGTGAGGGAGAGGTGAAGGGAGGGGGTATAGTGTGGTAACGTTTTTCTTCCGTGTTTGATGTCTGTTGTGGGTGTTGCTTCTAAAACTCTCTAACAATCCACCCATCTCATTGTCTCTCTGTCTGTCTCTTTTTACTTAATCCCTACGTCTGTCTTCCCATTTCTTCATTTTATAAACGTGTTTTACCTCACTGAAGTTACTGTATATTAATTCAATGTATTTACAACATATATCTACGAATTGCTAACTATAGGTGATGGTATACTGACTTCACTAAATGCTTGTTGTTGACGTTAGGTTAGGTTTGGTTAGGTTAGGTTGATAAAAGACACTTGTTTTATTTCTTTCATTCAGGATTCCAGTAGTTCATTGTTTCTCATAATTCTATCGCATGCATCGTCGTGGCGTTAAATGCGTGTGGAAGTGTATATATTATCAACTCGGGTGACTCAAGTTCACATTTAGAGAAGTTCAATGAAGATATATTAGACTTTATGTCTTTGTGTACTCTTCCTGTCTCACACTGGGGAAACACTTGACTTAAATAGTTTAGGGGAAAGAATGACCAGAGCTTCAGAAACAGAAGAGGAAATTTTCGTGTCCGTTTTTGAAATGAGAACATAAGCAAGATGTCAAGATGTACAGTACCACGTCTTGAGAGAGAGAGAGAGAGAGAGAGAGAGAGAGAGAGTGTGTGGTAGCGACTACTGATGCTACGACTGACTCGCCCGTTTTCTTTGATGAATACAAGAAGGAAAACAAAGACTACTTCAATAACACAGTACAGATATACGTCTTCCAGCCACCAGTACCTGTCCTCCACCTCACTCATCGTCAGGAGGAAGAGGGGTTGGGTGGAAAAGGCTATGGTGCTGGATGATGGTGAAGGATGATGGTGAGCAGGGCCGGATTAAGCTTAATAGGGGCCTGAGGCACAGATCAACTTGGGGCCCCCTACCCTCAAGGTATATAAAAATAGCAAGAACAAAATATACCCAAATTTATCAATGATTTCATCAATATTAATCTTCTGCAAAATAACACATTTAATGTTCATAATAGACAGAAAATTGAGACGTTGCTAGGACATCGTTGAACGAAGTTCATGTTTTATACGCTTCAACTTCGAGAATGTTTGGATTTGGGGGCCCCTTAGACTCGGGGGGCCTGAGGCCAGTGCCTCAAGTGCCTCATGGTTAATCCGGCACTGATGGTGAGGTGAGGTCTTGGGTGGAGGTGTTGTGATGGTGGTAGTGGGGGAGGTTGTAAGGGATTATGATGGTGGTAGTGAGGAAGGTTATAATGTGGTTGTGTGAGGGAGAGGAACAAGACTCACGTGGTGGTCAAAGTTGTTGGCGATGTAAGCTCTGAGGAGTCTGTTGCGTCTGTCGATGTTCATACCGTTGCGGACCTCGGCGGAGTTCAACATGTGGTGACTCTCGGCCAGCGCCACCCCGTACAGGAGGTCATACTTCCCGAACACCGACGTGTCCCTCTTCATCGACCTGCACGACAACACTCAACACTTACTACTCTTCAAGGTTAACATGGATTACGATAATGTTGATATATATATTATAGGAATTTATTAAGAACTATCATATCGCTGCCTCTTGTTTATTCTACGCCTAAAAAGAAAACTTTGGAATCATAGGAAAATACTAAATACAATCTGTTTATTACTATTTTTTAAGGTAAAGTTTTATTGTAGTATTTAAAGATGGAATATCCAGAGGAGAAGAAAGATTTAAGGTTAGTGATGATGGTCAGAGAGTCATCATGTTAGGTTTGATCATCACGTACACGAGGCCACCCTCCTCAATACTTCAGTAATACTCTACCTGAAAGCATTTAATATAACACACAAAACAAAATAAAAATACTTTAGTTATGCCTCTGACTCCACATCTTTTTACCACCCTGTATGTTGAGTTATACATCTGGGTCTGACGTAACTTGAGGGTCTTGGTGGTAAAGGTGATTGGAATTTTAACATCTATTTACTCAGATTATTTTGGGTGTTATAAAGCTTTTTTTATGTTATTATGAAGACAATATATAATGATTCTCACGGTTCTCAGGTATGAACTAAACCCACAAGTAGATGCCAAATCTTGCCAAGTGATCAGGGGATGTTGGCAGCGTCTGTACTACAGGGAATGAAACAAAGAAATGGCAGGGACAATTTTGCAGCAACATTATATTTCCTGGAAAACGGAAAGAGGAGAGAATTGTAAATAAAGGTGAGACAGGGATAAATGGTGGACAATACACTATTGTGAGGCGAGTTTGTGTGTGTTATCACATTTTAGAGGAAAGAATGACCTCGCTGGAAAACAAATGAGAGTTTGAAAATTATATTATAAAATACCGTGGAGCAGATACTCGAGGGAACCTCTAGCCTCTGGGATTATTATATCCATTGAATAAATAGGAATTTTCGGCTGAAAAAAAGGTTTTCGATGATATAAAATAGAAAAAAAAGGAAAACAAATGTTTTTGTAATTCGGGAGGAACATTTGTCACGGTGCACGGAGTAGTGTTTATATCTGCTGGTGGAGTTCATCTGACCCCCCCCCCCTCCCCCGGGCCTGTCTTGTTTGCAATAACGTCAGCTCGTAAACTGTGGGTACATCTCCCTGTCTTTTCTCGCCTATTAACTAATAAAATATAAAAACACCATAAATAACATTTCTGAAATCTTCCCTTTATACAGTAAACTTTTTCACAGTACAACGATTTACCACACAATATTATATAATACCACATGCTGCCATAGAGCTGTAAGATGTTACCACACACCTGCCAGGTACTTCCATATACCTATCAACACTCATAGATTTCACCAAGTATACGTTCATTACTCAAGAGTGAAAATATGCACTTAAACTAACACTTAAATGTCACAAAAATCATTAATGGATCTTGAATGACGAATGGATTACCTTTTGACAACACACAACAACAACTGAGACACCTGACATATATCATAAAATCATAAAGGTTGTTCAGGTGAGACAGCGAGGTACTTTACCGCCACATACTCACCAGCAAGTAGTTTCTGTGCTGGAGTAATATTGTTGATGCTGACCAGTGTGTAGTTACCAACGCAGGTTTATACTGTACACTGTCAGGCTCTTGGCTTATTGCCGACTCCCTCTCGATGCTTAATAATGGCCTCAATGTCTCATAATGGCCTCATAATGTCTCATAATGGCCTTATAATGGTTTCATAATGTCTCATAATGGCCTCATAATAGCCTCAAAATGCCCCATAATGGTCTCAATGTCCCATAATGGCCTCATAATGGCCTCATAATAGCCTCAAAATGCCCCATAATGGTCTCAATGTCTCATAATGCCTCATAATGGCCTCAATGTCTCATAATGGCCTCATAATTGACATGGAGCCGGCAGTGTCCAGGCAGTGTATTATCCGTCTGACAGTGTCTGCAGCCACCCGGGACAGTGCATTAAAACATTCCCTGGGTTAATTTTCTCTTTGCTACGCTCTCTTCGTCGGCGTCAGAGTTAAGGAACACCTGTAAGTTACAGTATTCACAGTAGTTCAAATATAAACGGGGAGAACTGGAGCAACACTGAGCCTGAACACTGCCCAGGTCAAAGGTCACGGGCGAGTGTGAGGTCCGGTACGTATCGCTGAGGTTTTAAGACTCTAATACACTCACTGTAGTCTAAGGTATTACTAGCTCTGAGGTCTTAAAGTGCTGTATAAGTCTTTGTCATGAAATCACTCGCTAATCGGCCTACTTCACGGAGTCAACAGAGTACATATACGCTTCCATGGCCCAACTCCCACACCCCTCCAGCAGTAGTTCGTCAGCGGGGCTCATGGACGCATCCTCTTGAAGTACATAATCTACTTACACACAGTGCTGCTGCAGCCGGGTATTGCAGTGTGGAAAATAAACATATATTTGTAAATACATATATTTGTTGTCATAGCGTTGAGCTGTCGGACTGCTTTGTGGTCCCTGTGTCTGTGTGTGTGTGTGTGTTTACATGGTGTGTGTGTGTGTGTGTGTGTGTGTGTTTACATGGTGTGTGTGTGTGTTTACATGGTGTGTGTGTGTGTGTGTTTACATGTATTGGTGTACATAAAGTGACAAGTTGTATAATAAACTCCAGTCTGTTATCTCTCTTTCTCTCTCTCTGTCTATCTATCTCCCTCATTCTCCCCTGTCTCTCTCCATCTCCTGCATTCTCTCCTATCTCTCTCCATCTCTCTCATTCCAAAAGAACCTTCCTTACTCGATGGGCCGTTGGTGTACGATAACATTGTCGATAATAGGCCCAAGGGGAGTGGTGAAGGGGGGTGTCTGCAGGTTCACAGACAACAGCTCCTCCACACTCTTGCGCTGGAGACACTGGGTAAGTATGTCGCCTCGATCGTTCAGTGGACACCCCAGCGCCTTGGCCACCTGTAAGAGGATGGTAAAGTGAGTCGAGTGTGTTAGTGAATTCAGTGAGTTAGTGAATTGGGTGAAATTGAGTGAGTTGGGTTAGTGAGTGAGGTGAGTGTGTTAGTGAGTTGAGTGTAATTGAGTGAGTTAGTGAATTGAATGGAAGTCAGGGCTGAACACAGGGGACATTACAAAGGTACTCAAACTATCCAACCAGGAGCGAACTCGTAACAATGGATTTAAATTTGACAAATTTAGATTTAGGCGCGAAATAGGTAAACACTGGTTTGGAAATAGAGTAGTGGACGAGTGGAACAAGTTACCAAACATCATCATTAACTCGAATATGCTGGATAGCTTCAAACATAGGTTGGATGGATATATGAGCAATGGGGGTTGGGTGTAAGCGGGACTACCCAGTATGGGCCAATAGGCCCGCTGCAGTTTCCTCCATTCTTATGTTCTTATGTGTGAGTGTCAGTAAAGAAGGATGAACGTGTAAGCTAGTGTAAGTTATTAGTAAAAGTGTGTGTATAAATAAGTGTAAGTTTTAAGTAAGTGTGTAGGTGTGTAAGTAAGTGTATAAAATAGTATATGTAAGTGTTAGTAAATCAGTAAGTGACTGTAAATGACTCGCTTAACGCTGATTCAGAACGACTCATTGACTCAAGAAGAAGCTTAATGAATCAACACTGATTCAGAGTCATTTAAGACAAAGCTTAGTGATTCCCTGACTCACAATTATCGTTGACTCAGAGTGACTTACTTCTAAATGAAACTGACCTATACTCCTGACTCATCATTGATTCATTGACTCAACTAGCAAGGGTCTCAGGCTATAGCTCAACGACCAAATAACTCACCAATGACTCACCACTGACTTAAAAGTGACTCACCTGGATGGTATACTTGTAAGGCTCCCAAGTGACGGCCCAGCGGGAGAGAGCCGTTCCACTCATCAGAATAGCTCGCTGGAACAACCCTGGGGGAGACGAGTGTGTTAGTGTGTGTGTGTGTGTGTGTGTGTGTGTGTGTGTGTGTGCGTGTGTGTGTGCGTGTGTGTGTGTGTGCGTAAAAGAAAATTTATAATGTGTCTACGAAAAAATCGATGTCATGACACACACACACACACACACACACACACACATACACACACACAAGTTCCAGTAACAGTATCATGCCACCTTTGGACCCTTTAATAATGAGGCAGACAACACCAATAGGATGATGGCGCGAGTATCGGAAAACTACGCGAATTATGAAATGGCTCATATTAATTGAACGAAGGACGAGGAGGGAGAATTGGCCTCGTGAATTCATTGGGGATCAAAAGGAAACCGATGCTGTAATGATAGTGATAAGCAAACGTTGTTATGAGGGCCTTGGTGGAGATTAACTCTGTGTGTGTGTGTGTGTGTGTGTGTGTTTGTACCATGCAAGGACTAGCAACTTTGTAATAGATTTGAGTGATGATGTACATAATAATACACACACACACACACACACACACACACACACAAAGGTCCTACTAAGAGCATCACGTTATCTATAAAACCCCGATATAACCTTTGAAACTGTGATCACATCAACATTATCTTGGTGATTACCGAACTGTGTTGCCTCGTGTCGCCCCAGGGAGTGTGTCAACAGAGTGTCTTTTGTTTCACGTATCGGAGTCAAATGAGGACCGTAATCAACATTTGTAATGGATTGGGGTTATTGGGTGAAGGAAGAGAGAGAGGAAGGGAAGGGGAGGGGGAGATGGAGGGGAAGGAAGGAAAGGGAAGGGAAGGGGGGGAGGGAAGGATGGAGGGAAGGGAAGAGGGAAGGAAGGGAAGGGGAAGGGGAGAGAGGAAGGAAGGGGAGATGGAGGGAAGGAAGGGAAGGGAAGAGAGAAAGGAGAAGGAAGGAGGGGAGATGGAGGGAAAAGGAAAAGGGAAGGGAGAGAGGAAGAAGGGAAAGGAGAGAAGGGAGGGAAGGAAGGGAAGGAAGGGAAGGGAATGGAGGGAGAAGGAAGGAAGGGAAGGGAGAGAAGGAAGGAAGGAGAAAGAAAAAGGTATACAAGGGAGAGAGGAAGGGAAGGAAGGGAGATGGAGGGAAGGAGGAGGAAGGAAGGGAGAGGAAGGGAAGGAGGGAGATGGAGGGAAAGGAAGGGAAGGGAAGGGAGAGGAAGGAAGGGAGAAAGAGATGGAGGGAAAGGAAGAAGGGAAGGGAGAGGAAGGAAGGGAAGAGGAGAAAGGCATGCAAGGGGAGAGGAAGGGAAGGGAAGGGGAGAGGAAGGGAAGGGGAGAGGAAGGGAAGGGAAGATGTACTGTAACGTTTTCTGTATACAAGTAAGGAAAGTGGCATCTGTTGTGTAGCTGTTAAGGGAGAGGCTTTGTTTAATTCTACTTCCTGTTTGTCCGTTTTTATGATATTTGAATTTTTTTTTACTGCGAGAATCTTAATGCAATTTATTTATTTATTTATTTATTTACTATGAGACCCACAGGTGTGTCGATGAGGACGGAGGTCATTATCAGCATTCACAGTATGCTCTCGAGGCTGGGCAAGTCACTGTAATCTTCATACTCCAAGTGTACCAAATATCAAGTTCCTCGAGGATGACTTTTGTCCAATCACAGTTTTTGTAGTTTTACTGATAATAAAGACCAGTTGAATAATTATATATATGGATGGATATATTTATGTGAGTTTTATATCGTAAAATATTGTCATCAGCTCATATGCAAAGTGTGTTTACGATTTTTTTCTCACGGTAGACTTTTGTTAATTCTTTTTATTTGAATTCTCCCAAAAGTCCTTCATGTCTAAATGTGATAAGTTCATCCTATCTATCACGTCCACTCACAGCTTGGGACCACGTGAGCGAGGTGTTTGTTTGTTGTCATGAGTTATGGAGGAAGGTCGTCCCCTCCCCACATGGCGCCATCATTCCTCACTAGTGTTGACGAAGGAATGACGGAGTGCAGTCTGTGGTCAGCCAGGGAGGTGCTGGACCAGTTAGGCAGCCGCAGTGTTGGTGTATGGTGAGGCTCTCTCTCTCTCTCTCTCTCTCTCTCTCTCTCTTTCACTTTCACATTGAGACATGCAGACTACAGACACACACACACACACACACACACACACACAGAGTTCATTTGACATAATAAATACGAAGATCATAAGACTACCACTCTTCCTCCACCGTTCACATCCACAAGGGAGAGCTGCCCCCTCCCCCTACCAAGGTAACATATTCTACTTCACTACAGTATCCTGTGTTTACCCTGGGAGCCCTGGGCGACGGGGGAGATGAGGAGGAAGTTAGCGAGGGCCGCCCCGGTGCCGTGCCCGAAGATGGTCACATTCTCTGGGTCGCCTCCGAAGTTTTCAATGTTGCTCTTGATCCAGTGAAGCGCTGCTATCTGGTCAAGCAGCCCGAAGTTACTGACGTAGTTCTCACGTAGGGCAGGACGTAGGAACCCTGGGGAGAGAGAGGTAAACTTAGTAGAGAGAGAGAGAGAGAGAGTATGATGCGAAATGGTGAACAAAAATACCTCAGAACATAAACTTCGACACACACACACACACACACACACACACACACACACAACCAATGAACAGCATCGTGCCATCTTTGAGACCTTAGTAATGACCCTCTTAATGCCTGGCGATTTAGTGCCGGTAAAAGATTAGTCCTCCTCCTTCACTCTAATGTATCCCATGATTTAAGAGAAAGGGAGGGGCAGGGGAAGGGGAGAGGGAGGGGCGGAGGAAGGGAGGGAAAGGAGGGAGGGATTAGGTTACAGGATGGGTTGTGAAAGTTAATGAGGAGAATGGATGATGAGGAAAATACATACAGCAGAGAGAGAGAGAGAGAGAGAGAGAGAGAGAGAGAGAGAGAGAGAGAGAGAGAGAGAGAGAGAGAGAGAGAGAGAGAGAGAGAGAGAGAGAGAGAGAGAGACTGAAGAATGCTTACAGTACTGAAGAAGAAAGTAAAGAATTGGAGACCCAAACAGTCCCCGGGTCGCCTGGGTTACCACTGGGGGTCGCCTGTCTTGCCGCCTGGTGCCTGGGGTCGCCTGGGTCTTACTGGGGGTCGCTGGGCTGGGTCACTTACTGGGGTCGCCTGGGTCTTACTTGGGTCGGGGTCGCCTGGGTCTTACTTGGGTCTTACTGGGGTCGCTTACTGGGGGTCGCCTGGGTCTTACTGGGGTCGCCTGCTGGGTGCCACTGGGGGGCTCGCTCACAGGGTCGCCTAGTCTTACTGGGGTCGCCTGGGTCTGGGGTCGCCTGGGTCTTACTGGGTCGCCTGGGTCTTGCCGGGGTCGCCTGGGTCTTACTGGGGGTGCTTGGTCTTACTGGGGTCGCTACTGGGGGTCGCTTGGGTGCCTGGGGGTCGCCTGGGTCTTACTGGGGTTCGCCTGGGTCTTACTGGGGGTCGCCTGGATGAAAAAGACTTGTAGGTAGCCGACGAGAAAAGCCTTGGAAAAGACTTCATAAGACTTTAGAAATTAAAAACCTATGTTAAAGATCTCTTGGAAAAGTCTTATGGAAGAAAGAGAAAGAAGAAAAAGAGACAAAATGGACAAAAAAAATAAAAATAAAAACTAAAACTAAAAATATAATAAATCAAGACTGTAGTATTAAGACTCTGTAAGAAGACCTAGACGAGAGGAAGGAAGGACTCACTTAAAACCTCCACACCACCCCATTAAGTACTGTACTGCGGTGTCCCTCACGACTCATTTAGTTTAAAACTCGGGTTGAAACACGACAATAAAGCTTCAAGGGAAGATGTTGTTTAATAATACGGGCGTAAGACTCCTCAAGACTTAGAGACAAGTGAGGGATGAGGTAGAGGTGGGCAGGGGGGAGGGGGGCAGGGGGGAGGTAGAAGGTGGGACAGGGGGGGTCTTCGAGGTAGTAGATAATGACGAAAATTACGATGTTATTTACTTAGTCTTTAGCAAAGCGTTTGACAGAGTACCGCATCAGACGCTCCTGAGAAAAGTTAAGGCTCATGGTATCGAGGGGAAGTTTTAAATTGGATAAAATCATGGCTCACCGATAGACGCAGAGGGTCAGCGTAGATGGTGTTAAATCTGAGTGGGGCCGTGTAACCAGTGGGGTTCCCCAGGGGTCAGTACTAGGCCCACTCTTGTTCATAATCTACATAAACGATCTAGATACTGGGATCAGCAGTGACATAAGCAAGTTTGCGGATGACACCAAAATAGGGCGGCAGATTAATTCAGGGCAGGATGCAAATGCATTACAGGAGGATTTAAATAAACTGCAGGAATGGTCAGAAAAATGGCAAATGAAATTCAACACCAGCAAGTGCAACGCACTTAATATTGGAAGAGCAAATATTGTCAATGTATACAGCCTTAACAACATCCACCTAGAGAAGTCGACTTGTGAAAGAGACTTAGGGGTACTTGTAAGCCCGGACCTACGGCCTAGAAAACAGTGCGTTAATGTTCGAAATAAGGCAAACAGAGTATTAGGTTTTATATCTAGAAGTGTAAGTAATAAGAGTGCAGAGGTTTTATTGCAACTATATCTTGCACTAGTCAGGCCACACCTCACTTATGCGGTTCAGTTCTGGTGCCCTTATTATAGAATGGATATCAATTCACTGGAGTCGGTGCAGCGAAGAATGACGAAAATGATTCCGGGACTTAGAAACCTTTCATATCATGATAGGTTAAAGAAACTAAACTTGCATTCCCTGGAAAGACGAAGAGTGCGGGGAGATATGATAGAAGTATTTAGGTGGGTGAAAGGAATCAATAAAGGAGATATAGAAAAAGTTCTTATAATATCCGAGCAGGATAGGACTCGGAACAACGGATTCAAGTTGGTTAAGTTTAGGTTTAGGAGGGAAATAGGAAGAACTGGTTCACAAATAGGGTGGTGGACGAGTGGAACAAGCTTATCAACTTTGTAGTAAGTGCTGGAACGCTGGAAAGTTTTAAAAGGAGGCTGGATAGATTCATGGACGATAGAGAGTGGTAGTAACTCTCGACAGGAGCTGCCATGCACAGGCCAACCAGCCTATTGCAGACTCCATATTTTCTTATGTTCTTATGTTCTTATGGGTAAGGGGGGTAGAAAGGGGGGTAGGGGTGGGAGGTAGAAGGGAGCTAGAGGCCAGGATGAAGAAGGTAGAATGGGGGAGGTAGAGGGCAGGGAAGGTAGAAGGGGGGTAAAGGGGCAGGGAAGGAAAGGGGAGGAGAGGGTAGGGAAGGTAGAATGGGGGAGGTAAGGGGCAGGGAAAGGTAGAACAAGGGAGGGGGAAGGTAGAAGGTGAGGTGCGGTGGGGCAGAATGGGGAGGCAAGGGGCAGGGAAGGTAGAAGGGGGAGGTAAAGGGGAAAAGAGAATGTGGGGCAGGGAGGGCAGGGGCTGCAGAGGTTAAGAGGGAGGGGAGGGGAGGAGGGCAGGGGGTGAAGGGGAGGCAGAGGGGCAGGGGAGGTAGAAGGGGTGGGAGGTAGAGGGCAGGGAGGTAGAAGGGGGAGGTAGAGGGGGCAGAGGCAGAGGTGAGGAGAGGGGTTAGGGGAGGGAGGGGCAGGGGAGGTAGAGGGGGGGGAGGTAGAGGGGCAGGGAGAAGGTGAGGTAGAGGGGCAGGGGAGTGTGAGGGGCAGGGGAGGTAGAAGGGGGGGGAAGGGGCAGGGGAAGCAGAATGGGGAGGTAGAGGGCAGAAGGTAGAATGGGGGGAGGTAAGGGGGCAGGGAAAGGTAGAATGGGGAAGTAGAGGGGCAGGGGAAGGTAGAAGGGTGAGGTAAAGGGGGGGTGGAAGGTAGTAAGGCAGGGAAGGTAGGAATGGGGAGGGGAAGGTAGAACAGAAGGCTAGAGGGGCAGGGGAAGGTAGAGGGGCAGGAGGTAGAGGGGAGGTAGAGAGGGAGGTAGAGGGGCAGGAGAAGGTAGAAGGGGAGGTAGAGGGCAGGGGAAGGGGAGGGGCAGGGGAAGTAGAAGGTGAGGTAGAGGGCAGAAGGGGAGGGGTGAGGGGTAGAGGGGCAGGGGGAGGAAGGAGGCAAGGGTAGGGAGGGGTAGAGGGGCAGGGGGAGGTAGAGGGGCAGGGGAGGAGGGGCAGGGGAGGGGTAGAGGGGCAGAGGGAGGTAGAGGGGCAGGGGGGTAGAAGGGGAGGGAGGGGCAGGGGAGGTAGAAGGGTGGGAGGTAGAGGGGGGGGAGTGCTGAGGGCAGAGGGAGGGAGGGGGAGGTAGAGGGCAGTGGGAGGTAGAAGGGGAGGTAGAGGGCAAAGATAGAGGGGTGAGGAGGTAGAGGGGCAGGGGGAGGTTGAGGGGCAGAGGGAGGGAGGGGGAGGTAGAGGGGCAGGGGAGAGGTAGAAGGGTGAGGTAGAGGGGCAGGGGGAGGTAGGGGCAGGGGAGGAGGGCAGAGGGAGGTAGAGGGGGGTGGGAGGGGGGTGGGGGAGGAGAAGGGGGAGGTAGAGGGGCAGGGGGAGGAGAAGGGTGAGGTAGAGGGGCAAGGAGGGAGGAGGAGGTAGAGGGCAGGGGGAGGAGAGGGCAGGGGAAGGTAGAAGGGGAGGTAAGGGGCAGAGGGGTGGGGAGGTAAGGGGGGGAGGTAAAGGGAGAGGAGGGGAATGGGGAGGTAGGGGGGAGGAGGGGCAGGCAGGGGAGGGGAGGGGGGAGGTAGAGGGGCAAGAGGAGGGGAGGGAAGGAGGAGGAAGGGGAAGGAGGGGCAGGGAAGGTAGAGGGAGGGGAGGTAGAAGGGGGGAGGGAGGTAAAGGGCAGGGGAGGTAGAAGGGGGGAGGTAGAAGGGGCGGTAGAAGGGGGGAGGTAAGGGGGGAAGGGGAGGTAGGGGGAGGTAGAGGGAGGAAGGGCGGGGAGGGGGCAGGGAGGGGGAGAGGAGGGGCAGGGTAGAAGGAAGGGGAGGTGGAGAAGGGGAGGAAGGGGAGGTAGAAGGAGGTAGAGGGGCAGGGGAGGTAGAAGGGGAGGTAAAGGACAGGGGTGGTAGAAGGGGAGGTAGAAGGGGAGGTAGAGGCAGGGGAGGTAGGGGGAGGTAGAGGGCAGGGTAGTGGGGAGGTAGAGGGGCAGGGGAAGGTAGAAGGGGAGGTAGAGGGCAGTGGGAGGTAGAATGGGATGGTAGAGAGGCAGGGGAGTGTAGAATTAAGAGGGGCAGAGGAGGGGGATAGAATGGGGAGGTAGAGGTAAAGGGCAGGGGAGCGAGGTAGAGGGGGAGGTAGAAATGCAGGGGAGGGGTAGAGGGGCAGGGGGGAGGTAGAAGGAGGGGAGGCAAAGGGCAGGGGGAGGTAGAAGGGGGAGGTAAAGAGGAGAGGGGGGAGGTAGAGGGCAGGGGAGGTAGAGGGAGGTAGAGGGGCAGGGGGAGGTAGAAGGGGGGAGGTAGAGGGCAGGGGAGGTAGAAGAAGGAGGTAGGGGCGGGGAGGCAGAGGGCAGGGGAAGTAGAAGGGGAGGTAGAGGGCAGGGATGAAGGGGGGTAGGTAGAAGGGGTAGGTAGAGGGGCAGGGGAGGTAGAGGGGGAGGGAAGGGGGGAGGTGGTAGAAGGGGGGAGGAAGAGGGGTAAGGGGAGGTAGAAGGGGAGGTAGAGGGGCAGAGGGAGGTAGAGGGGGGAGGTAGAGGGGTAAGGAGAGGTAGAGGGTGTGCTAGGAGAGGAGGTAGAGGGAGAATCCAAACCAGTCTCCCGAAATTTACAGTGATACCCTTATGTAGAAGGAAAACCCATCCATTAGTAACCAATAATGCCCAGATAGAATAGAAAAGCAGAGGCACCCTCCTTGGCCTGCATATATCCACGACAGGTTAATCCCATCATGTCCACACCAGGAAGGAAAAGGCAAGAAGAGAGCTGAGAAAACTATACCGCTTTAAACAACTTCCCAAGAAAATAAAACTTCGCCTGGTGACATCATTTATCATACCGATATTAACTTACCCAGCAATACCTCTTCATACTATGAGCACCACTCAAATATTATAACTACAGGTGGTCCAAAATGAAGCCCTAAGATTGGTCACAGGTGAAAGACACCCCTTCACCAGAACCACAGCCGAGATACATAGAGACTTGAGAATGAAACCCATCAACCAGCAGTTGCACACCCTGGCCAACAGAATCTGGCAAAAGCTAATGGTGTGTTAGGGTTGTGTCATGGGTTAGTTATTGTCTGTCGGTACAAGCAATAGACAACCTTCCTAGACCAGCATCCGCCAGTAGGGTCGGCGGAATATGAAATAAGGCCCTCAAAACACCCATATATGGGATAGGGTAGGATGTCTATTGCCTGTACCGACACACACTAACTAACCCATGACACAACCCTAACACACTATTAGCTTAGCTAGGCGGTCAGCCCGCCCTCTCTTACCTCCTCCTAAAATTCTTCAATTTCTGAACTATAACTTCCTTCCTCCACCTCTAATCTTCTTTCACCCCTCCTTTCTCTTAAAAAAAGGAAAAATAAAAAAGAAAGGTAGAGGGTGGGCTGAGAGAGAGAGAGGTAACTCACCTAGTACGCCAAGACGGAAGTTGACGGTGATGACGACGACCTGACCAAAAGAAGCGAGAACAGAGCCGTCGTAAGGGTTGCCGCTGTTCCACTCGTAAGACTCCCCGTGGATGTAGACCATGACGGGGAGCTTCTTCCGGGTTATGGTGTTGACGGGGCGTAGATCTTCTGCAGGAGAGAGGAGGAGGAGCAGGTGTTAGTGGTGGTCTGGGAATGGTCGATACAGGTCAAGAATACATAAAAAAAAGAAGTATATTCAGTTACCTATGTCTCTCACTCTCTCTCTCTTCTCTCACTCTCTTTCTCTTCTCTCAATCTCTCTCTCTTTTCTCACTCTCTTTCTCTCACACTCTTTCTCTTCTCTCACTCTCTCTTCTCTCACTTTCTCTCCCTTCTCTCACTCACTCTCTCTCTTCTCTAATTCTCTCTCTCTTCTCTCACTCTCTCTCTTCTTTCACACTCTCTTCTCTCACTCTCTTTCTCTTCTGTCACTGCCTCTCTTCTCTCACACCCTCTTCTCTCTCTCTCTCTCTCTCTCTCTTCTCTCACTCTGTTCTCTCACTCTCTCTTTCTTCTCACTCTCACTCTTTCTCTTCTCCCACTCTCTCTCTCTTCTCTCACTCACCCTTTCTCTTCTCTCACACTCTCTTCTCTCTCTCTCTTCTCTCACTCTTTTCTATCTCACTCTCTTTCTCTTCTCTCACTCTGTCTCTCTTCTCTCACTTTATACTTAAGGATGAAACAAATCAAATCTCAAATTCTCTCCCGTTAGACCAGGCTTTATGAACCGTGATGTCATGGGCTTGGCACGACCCTAGAGGCTCTGGATGCCATTATATATTTTTCTGTCTCATTGATTTGTATGATAGTATTGTCAGACGTCATTATTTCTTTATCTCCACACGTCATTATCTCTCTATCTCCACACGTCATCACTATCTCCTTATCTCCACACGTCATCACTATCTCCTTATCTCCACACGCCGTCATTATCTCTTTATCTCCACACGTCATTATCTCTCTATCTCCACACGTCATCACTATCTCCTTATTTCCACACGTCACCATCATCGCCAGTCTCCTCTCACCTGCCAAGGGTGGGAGGAATGGCAAGAGATTTACTATTAGGATTTGATATAAGAATGGGATAGGTGTGGTGGATTATCGAGGTGGATTTACATAAGAACATAAGAACATAAGAAAATAAGGAGTCTGCAATAGGCTGGTTGGCCTGTGCATGGCAGCTCCTGTCAAGAGTTACTACCACTCTCTATCATCCATGAATCTATCTAGCCTCCTTTTAAAACTTTCCAGCGTTCCAGCACTTACTACAAAGTTGATAAGCTTGTTCCACTCGTCTACCACCCTATTTGTGAACCAGTTTCTTCCTATCTCCCTCCTAAACCTAAACTTATCCAACTTAAATCCGTTGCTACGAGTCCTATCCTGCTCGGATATTATAATAACTTTATCTATATCGCCTTTATTGATTCCTTTCACCCACTTAAATACTTCTATCATATCTCCCCGCACTCTTCGTCTTTCTAGGGAATGCAAGTTTAGCTTCTTTAACCTATCTTAATATGGAAGGTTTCTAAGTCCCGGAATCATTTTCGTCATTCTTCGCTGCACCGACTCCAGTGAATTGATATCCATTCTATAATAGGGGCACCAAGTCGCAGCAAGTCGCACGCCTTCTGAAAGATGCTAGAGGTAAACTCTGTCCCTCGATCACTTACAATGACCCGGGGACACCCATGAGTACCAACGTATTGTAATAGGGCTTCACAAACTGTCTCTGTGCGTTTATCGGGGATGGGTATATAGGTCGCAAAACGTGAATAGTGATCGACGATGGAAACAACGTATCTGTTTCCCGATGTGAACGTATTGTCATGTCAGTTAGATCGATCGATACCCGTTCCAAGGGCTGGGAGGCTGGTGGGAACTCCTGCAGCTCTCCCTGTCTCTTTGGGGTACCCTTCCTTAACTGACATGGCAGACATCCTTTGACAAATGCCCCACCTTTCCGCGCTAAATTAGGCATGAAAAACATAGAGCGTGCACGTGCATATGTGCGACATTCACCCGGGTGGGCTGCGAATTGGGAAGAGTGAGCTGCTTCTAGGGCCGAGTTTTCCAAGGATGCGGGGACGACTACGAGTTCTGTGGGTTGCTCGTCATCATGTCTCATAGTAACAAGGTACAGGACTCCGTTTAAAAGACTGAAATCACAAAGTGAAGCTTTGTTGACCTTCTTGGGGAGCGGACCCCCCTCAAGGAACTCAATGACAGGACCCCACTGTGGGTCTTCAAGTTGGTGTTGGCGCACCTCGTTAGGTGATAGGTCACCAAAAATGGGCTGAGTCATGCTGCTAGGATTCCCGACATTATTTATAGGTAATACATTACGGCTCAGTGCGTCTGGCACGACGTGGTTCTTGCCTGGCTTATGCAAAATGGAGAAGTTATACGCATTTAAGAAGACTGCCCAGCGTGCTACCCGTGCATTAGGAGTTTTACCTTGGAAGATATACATTAAAGGACGGTGATCAGTAATTACACAGAAATGTCTACCAAATAGGTAAGCATCAAAGGAAGTTACGGCCTTGACAATAGCCAAGGCTTCTTTCTCAGTTGTGGAGTAGCGGAGGGCAGCTCCGCTCAATTTATGGGAAAAATAAGCAATAGGGATGGGGTTATCTTCACCACCTTGCATAAGACAGGCTCCCAGTGCTTCGTCGGAAGCGTCAGTGTGCACGTAAAACGGCTGCGTGAAGTCCGGCAGTGCTAACATTGTTGCCGACTTCAGTAAGTCCTTGAGATGGTTAAAAGCTTTATCTGCCTCCCCCGACCACTGAAACTAAACCGACTTCTTTGTAAGTTTCGTAGGCTGCCTCTGAAAAGTGAGGGATGTGACGTCTGAAAAAATTGGCGGTGCCGAGGAACTGTTTCACACCCTGGCTGTGGTGGGAGGTGGCATCTCTAATATCGCTTTCACTTTCACCGGGTCAGGTCTAACACCGCCGTGGCCTATGATGAATCCCAGGAATTTAACTTCCTGGAGCGCGAACGCACATTTTCTAAGGGACACTTTCAGTCCGGCCGCTTTCATGACCGAGAGAACCTCATCTACATCCCGCATGTGAGAATCCACACTTTTACTATAGACGATAACATCGTCCAGGTGAGCCATAGCGTTACACCCAAGCACGGGTGTGAGACTGTGGTTCACCGCCCTCATGAACGTGGGTGGTGCCCCCGTTAGCCCGAAAGGTAACCTATTGAAACAAAATAGACGACTGCCGTTCAATTGGTCCAGTGTCTTAAAATTATATCTTGCTCTTGTGAGACCTCACCTGGATTACGCAGTTCAGTTCTGGTCACCGTATTACAGAATGGATATAGAATCATTGGAAAGAATCCAGAGGAGAATGACAAGACTAATCCCGGGCATTAGGAACCTTGAATAAAGAGACAGGTTAAAGCATCTTAATCTGCACTCCCTCGAGAGACGTAGGGTGAGGGGCGACATGATAGAGGTGTATAAATGGAAGTCAGGGTTAAACAAAGGGGACATTACAAAGGTACTCAAATTATCCAACCAGGAGCGAACTCGTAACAATGATTTTAAATTAGACAAATTTAGATTTCGGCGTGAAATTGGTAAACACTGGTTTGGAAACAGAGTAGTGGACTAATGGAACAAGTTACCAAATATCATCATTAACTCGAATACGCTGGATAACTTCAAACATAGGTTGGATGCATATGTGAGCAATAGGGGTTGGGTGTAAACGGGACTGCCCAGTATGGGTCGATAGGCCCGCTGCAGTTTCCTCCATTCTTATGTTCTTATGTTCTTATGTCTAGTCAATTCTGGGCAAGGGATAGCTATCAGCAATGGTGTTCTTATTAAGGTCCCTATAGTCCACACATAATCTAGTTGACCCGTCCTTTTTTCTGACTAATACGACTGGGGAGCAATAGGGGCTAGTGCACGGGGAGATGACGCCACGTTCCTCCATTTGGCGGCATAAGTCCCTGATTTGAGTTTTAGCCGCCTCAGGGAGCCGCCACTGCCGTACTCTGGTAGGGGGCGGAGCTGGTTATAATTTTGTGTGAAGCTGACATCAGGCAGAGGTCCTGATCTGAAGTTGCAAACAGGTCTTTATGCTGCTTTATTATAGAGTGCAGACGTTCTCTAATAAGGGTGGGTAGGTGATCTATGTCAAGGGATTCTAATGCTGTGGTGAACATTTGCTGTGAATCTACGAACTCTGTGTCACTCCTAATGTTATATCTCGTAGAATCAAAATGTTCCAAATCCTCTACCTTATCGACCGCACAGACTGTTCCCAGGAGTAAGTTTAAATTCCCTGGGGGTGGAGTTTATGACTGGGACGCTAGGCTGCTGTGTGTCAATGAGGCCTGGCTGCACGTATGGGGACATTTTATGAGGGGTTTCAACAAATACATACTCCTGATTATCCGTGGCACTGTCAAACGACCTTGACCATCGAACGGGCAGAACAACCCTAGAGTGGGGAGGGATGACAGTGACGCACATAGGGTGTAGCTGGGGAGCTTGGGGCGGGGCTGGGTGCGCTTAGGCTTAATGAGGTGGACGGGCAGACCAGACCTGTTCCTAATAGGAGTACCTCCATAATCCCTACCATCTAGCGTCACGGTATACCGGCTCCCATCAAACTGGATTCCAAACGTAAACCTACACAAGAAATCTGACCTGGGAAAAGATCACCTCTTACCACAACCAGTGCGTGAACAACTATCTTATCTCCTAATTCTACAGTTATATCCCTGGAATCCAATGTTGAGAGGCGGTTACCCGTGACACCACGGAACTCAGGAACTCTATGCTTTCCCCCTAAGCTCATCTTGGTGGCCACGTTATGTTTCACTAAGGACACCAAGGAGCCTGTATCAATGAAAGCTTCAACCCGTTTCCCTCCCATTTTCAACTTTATAATTGGCCTGTCTTCCCTAGTCACCATCAACGCCTCGCCCTTGTCTTTAGTAGTAGGGACATAACCTGCGGATGTGTCCCCACTCGGCACATGCGTAACAACGCATCCCGGTGTATGGACACTCTCTGCGGGTATGTCCCTGGTCGCCACACCCATTGCACTGGTTTTCCTCACATTGGAAAGGACATCCGTGCACCGCGTGGGACCATGTCCCACAGGAGGAGCAACGAAAGGGCTTCGGAGATCTATACCAGCTATCCCGCATGGGCGGGCCCGGTCACGTAACCCAACGTGTTTATACCTAATGTATGTGGCCGTGATTGCTCCCGCCCTTCCTCGTGAAACGGTGACTGTTCCTGCCGGTTCCTTTTGTACCGGCTGAGATTTTCCACCATCAGTCGCAAGAATTCATCCTCCCAGGGGTGGGAGGGGCGGCGTGAATTGTCGACACAAAAGGGGAAGAAGGGGGGGGGGGTCCTGAGCTGTATATGCGTCCGCGCCGCTTTAATTGAGCTCTCTATCGTAGTTATCCCGCTCGACACCATGCACGTATGCATCTCGCCGGGTAAGCCCGATAGAAAGTAAGAGAGTACTAGCTCAGGTGGGAAGAATTGTGGGTAATTGACTCTGGTCATCTTCACAGCACTATCTATGCATGATAGGTAAACGTTTAGTGATGAACACTCCTCTAGCTTGATATTGGCTAAGCGAAGCGTGTGATCTTGTAATGTGTTACCCTGGCTGTAAATTTCCTGTAATCCGTTCGCGAACGTGTCCCACGCGGTAGCATTATTTAATGTCGGATTAAATCCTAGCACTCCTTTCGCGTCACTGCCCAATAGCATACGTGCCGTCCTGAGACGGCATTCCTCGTATTCCTGAAGTGTTTCCGGGAATGCATTTTCAATGATTCCTAGCCACTGCTCCAGCCTATCGGCTGATGTCGCAGGGTCACGGGACGTCGTTGCTGGCCCTTCTTCCAATATATAGGACCTGTAACGGGCCTCCCGTCAGAGAGTCTTGTAACCAAGAAGGGCCAGCAACAACGTCCCGAGTCCCGCTCGACAGAAGTCCGCCACTAAGTGTAACGAGGTCTCAGCAGGGTCCATCGACAGAGTGCTGTCAACTCAACGTGTAACAGTAACTGCTGGTTGTGTAGACGGTAGAAGCGCGGTGATCCCGAACCTCCCCAACGATCGACTTAGTGAAAGTGCCCATTCTATTTGTGAGGTCAGGTTATACGAGAATACCATAGTCTATCATGCACTGTGTAACTGTGATGCTGTACGACTTGTAACTGTGATGCTGTACGACTTGTAAATGTGATGCTGTACGACTTGTAAATGTGATGCTGTACAAAGTGTAGATGAGGTAACCAAAATCCTTCGTCCGTTGTGTCATATATTTCTCAACACAATTTTGTATAATTTTTTGTGTGACTCTACATTACGTCGGCCACTGCACACGTCGTAGTCAGCCTTCACAAGCAGCTGACACACAGATGAATATTTTAAAAAGTCATTTGTGTTGCTTCAGTGTATTTTAATAGACGTGCCACAGTTTATTACGACCAACTGTGAACACCGCGTATGTTGTTATGACCTATAAGAAAACCTTTCGTTAACCTTAATATAAATCGTCAAATATTTCTTTTTTAATCTTTCTTTGAGCTCTCGTTGAACGGCCCTGTGGGTAGTGAGAAGTTGTTCTGGAGTTGCGGTTAACGAGGAAGACGAAGGCTGCGGTTAATGAGAATGGTAAGGGGTTGTAGCTGTGGTTAATGAGAAGGGTAAGGGGTTGTAGCTGTGGTTAATGAGAAGGGTAAGGGGTTGTAGCTGTGGTTAATGAGAAGGGTAAGGGGTTGTATCTGTGGTTAATGAGAAGGGTAAGGGGTTGTAGCTGTGGTTAATGAGAAGGATAAAGGGTTGTAGTTGCGGTTAATGAGAAGGGTAAGGGGTTGTGGCTGTGGTTAATGAGAAGGGTAAGGGGTTGTAGCTGTGGTTAATGAGAAGGGTAAGGGGTTGTAGCTGTGGTTAATGAGAAGGGTAAGGGGTTGTAGCTGCGGTTAACGAGGAAGACGAAGGCTGCGGTTAATGAGAATGGTAAGGGGTTGTGGTTAATGAGAGGGCTAAGGGGTTGTGGCTGCGGTTAATAAAGAAAATAAGGCTTACAGCTTCGGTTAAAAATGGAAGGCAACCGCGGTTAACGAGAAGGAAGGAGGCTTAAAGTGGGAGACGTTCCTTTAATTAAGCGAGCGTAATAAGGCCGCGGTAGGTAGCGAGACTGAGCAGGTATTGCAGGGGCTCATCTGTGTGTTCCAAACCACACCTTAATTACGGAGTCTCTTTCAAACCTTCCTCTAAGACTCATCGCTCCCAGGTGTTTTTTTTTTAGGGAAATATTTTTATATTTTTCCCTTTTCACGTTTTATTGGAATTGTCGGATCATCTGAAGATTCGCCGCTCCCCAGCTTATTGCTCCCCCAGCTTATTGCTCCCCCAGTTTAATGCTCCCCCAGTTTATCGCTCCCCAGCTTATTGCTCCCCAGCTTATTGCTCCCCAGCTTATTAACCACCAGCTTATTGCTCCCCCAGCTTATTGCTCCCCCAGCTTACTGCTCCCCCAGCTTATTGCTCCCCAGCTGCCACCCACCAGCTTATTGCTCTTCCAGCTTATTACTCCCCCAGCCATTGCCCCCCAGCTTATTACTCCCCAGCTGCTCCCAGCCATTGCCCCAGCCTACTGCTCCCCCCAGCCATTGCCTCCCCAGCTTACTACCCACCAGCTTATTGCTCTTCCAGCTTATTACTCCCCTGTTATTGCCCCCAGCTTATTACCCCAGCTTATTGGTCCCCCAGCTATTGGTCCCCCAGTTTATTGCTCCCCAGCTTATTACCCCCAGCTTATTGGTCCCCCAGCTTATTGGTCCCCCAGCCTATTGCTCCCCCCAGCTTATTGCTCCCACCAGCTTATCACCATGGCGGTGCTCCGGGGTCTATATATAATGTCTGAACCTATATTTATGTCGCTTATTTCTACATACAGTATATCGTGTGACTCTGGTCTTCAGCACCTTACTATACACAGTTTGACAAGACCCCGTCAGTCTGGGCAGAAGTTTCTTTACTCACGATTTTTACGGTGACGTTCTGTCTTCCGCCTCCAGACACGTCTTAGGAAATAAAAAATGTATCTTTGTTGAAGTTTGGAATGATGCCTTCAACGTTTGTGTTTTATTTATAGTTATTTTAATGTTTTATCTTTGAGTGATATATAAGTAAAGACGATAATTTGGTGTTGTTGAGGTAATGTATTCACGGTCAAGGACTTTATATACTGTTCATTATGTATTAGTTTCTGCTCTTGACAATAACCTACAGTCTGTCTCAGTGTTCTTGGATATATAAACTATAGAACACAGCGGAAAATAATTAGGTTAGGTTAGGTTTGGTTCAAAACAAAATTTGAGTATCGTGTAGAGTAACGAGTCGCTTGTTGTAGATTCAAGACTTGAAAAAATATATATATTACTCGGGTGAAGAGGCAGCTAGGCAGGCAAACTGGCCTCATATTTCCTGCACGACGCTGAGGCAAAAACTAAGAACGTGAGACACTGCCCGGGAAGTTGAGGACGCGGGAGCTAGACAGTGCCATCCCACGCGGGTTGCTAAGACACAAGGTCTTTTTTTGTCGAGGGTAAGAAACGCCCCCTTATTGGTAGCCCACCTTCACCCCCCACCCCACCCCTCCCACCACTCCACCTGCCTCTCATATACACGATAAAGAGATGAACACTTTATATATCTGGTCATATTGGCAACATAGACTTTGTTCTTTGGCCATATTTCATCCTGTATCAAATATCACCTAACCATCTAAAATTAAATGCAATGGAGAATAAACTGTTGAATTAGTTATAAATGTGGGAGATAAAATAACGAAATAAAAGGATAATTTTGTGTTTTTTTTTTGTCTACAAGAGAGTGGGAGAGAATATGGTGAGTTAATGTTATTCATTGATGGTTTTGTGGCAGAGATAAACAAAGCTTTCTGGTGTGTGTGTGTATGTGTGTGTGTGTTTGTCTGTGTGTTACAAGCGGCAGCATTACGGAGGTTAACTTTAGTGTATTACGAGATTGCATTCAGGGATGATAGCTGGCACGGCGTTGATTTTTGGGCCACATAGACACACTGTTAAATCTCTCTCTCTCTCTCTCTCTCTCTCTCTCTCTCTCTGTCTCTCTCTCTCTCTCTCACCAGAGGCCCAGGAAACAAAATAACCATCACGACATAAAACTCCCTCACCGCGATAACCTCAAACCTCTTCTTTACATTCAATCTTGTCTTCTTTACAAAAATGATTTCCTGTGAGTGGAGAGAGGGAGGGAGGGAGGGAGGTCTCTAGTGATCTGTGGTAAGATGCGGCTTCAGGGACCCGCTGAATGAAAGCTGATTGCTGAAAATCACAACCTGTCCCGGGCATTCATCCAGTCAACTCAACCTGAGGATTTAGTGAGTGTTCGCCTGAGTGGTGGATGGGTTCGTCTGGCGATGGGCGGAACGGTTGTGTGAATGTGGTGTGGTGTGGTGTGGTGTGGTGTGGTGTGGTGTGGTGTGGTGTGGTGAGGTCCTGTGTGGCACCACATCTGAGGTCCTCTTCCTGGCCTTCACCAAGTCAGATAGATCTTTGATGTCATGTCTGTGAGTGTTCGTCGGACTAATGGATGGGTTCGTCTGGCGATGAGTGGGCTGAGTCTGTAGTGGTCTGGAGTTCAATGGACAAGAACTCGTTACTATGACCGACCAACAATTTCTATCTGTACCTCACTCTACTCCTTCACATGCTGACGGAGTGAGTGAGTGTTTGATCATTTCTTCTTTATCAAACAGCAGTGATATAAAAAATAATTATTGATTAAAGTACAAAATCAGTTGTGTCGACATAATGTTCATCACACAGACAGACAGACAGGACGACAGACAGACAGACAGACAGAAATACAGACAGAAATACAGAGAGACATATTATTAAGTCTAAAACAATCATTGTAGCTAAAAAAATGGATTCGTTTGTGAGTATTATCGCCTTTTAAGATGTCCATTGGCCGCGAGGAAAAACTGTTTTCCCCGGGGATAAAGAAGTGATATTTATCTACAATCACCAGGTCCCCGGAGACTCCCAAGTGTAGGTTAGGACCTCGGAGACTCCTAAGTGTAGGTTAGGTTAGGTTAGGTCCTTGGAGGCTCCCAAGTGTAGGTCCCTCTCTTACATCCCGTGTGTGTGTGTGTGTGTGTGTGTGTGTGTGTGTGTGTGTGTGTGTGTGTGTAATAATAATAATAATAATTAACGGTTTATTGAAAAAATTCTGCAGCCCGAAGGCTGAAAATATACATTGGACATAAATGACTTATTACATACATTAACAAAAGCCTTCATTAGAGAAAGGTAAAGGAACATACAGTGAACATACAGATTAATGTAGGTGTTGAACAGCAAACTCGTAGTGTAGTAACTCCCTCCCAGATGGTGTTAGGAGGAACTCACGTGGTGTAGTAGTTCCCTCAGATGTTGTTATGAGGGACCTGGCGTGGTGTAGTAATTCCCTCGCAGATGGTGTTATGAGGGGCCTCACGTGGTGTAGTAATTCCCTCGCAGATGGTGTTATGAGGGGCCTCACGTGGTGTAGTAATTCCCTCACAGATGGTGTTATGAGGGACCTCACGTGGTGTAGTAATTACCTCACAGATGGTGTTATGAGGGGCCTGACGTGGTGTAGTAATTCCCTCACAGATGGTGTTATGAGGGACCTCACGTGGTGTAGTAATTCCCTCACAGATGGTGTGATGAGGGACTTGACGTGGTGTAGTAATTCCCTCACATATGGTGTTATGAGGGACATGTGGTGTAGTAATTCCCTCACAGATGGTGTTATATGAGTGAGGTTTGGTCCCAGGCCTTCCTATCGTAGACGGATTAACACATCGGTGGTTGTTGTTGGGTCTCTCGGGCCGTTATCACTGGGTACCTGGGACCTCACTGTGTGAAGGTTAACTTGGGTACGACTGTTACTGTTGAGTTGTTCTCACTGACTTAAGCACTGTTCACCACTGTTCACCTCTGTTTAACACTGATTCCGTTCCTTTCCTAAATGAAATTGTAACTTCTGGCGAGAACTTGTTGATATTCCGGTGGGGAGGAGGGTTCAGGGGAGGGGGTTGGTATGGGCCAACTTAACAGTTGACCTGGCTGCTCCGAGAGGAGCGCCAGGTACGTCTTGACCCTTCGGTGGTCAAGGAGTGTGTGTGTGTGTGTGTGTTACCTGTGCCCCAGAACTCGTCCCAGAGACACATGGGATACTGTATTCTCAGGATCGTCCCCCAGAATATAAATTAATTACTCAGGAACAGAATTTGAAAGTCTTAGGGATAAAGTTCTATGCTTAACTCTCAGAAAGTAATACTGTGCACTGGGAAGTGTTTTTGAGAACATTATGGTCCCAGGAACACACATAATGCTCTCAATCTTTATATATATAAATATATATATAAATATATATATATATATATATATATATATATATATATATATATATATATATATATATATATATATATATATATATATATATATATATATATATATATATATATATAAATAAATATATATATATATATATATATATATATATATATATATATATATATATATATATATATATATATATATATATATATATATATATATATATATATATATATATATATATATATATATATATATATATATATATATATACATATATATATATATCCCAAGAGCCATAGAAATACTACTCTCATAATAGTCTCAGGCAACAACAACAAAAACATTACATTATCTCAAGGACATAATTTTACGTCTGAGGGACACACAAGGGATACCGGGCCGTGAGTTATATAGAAGGGGCAGCAGGAAGGAGCAATATATTTTAGCTCTGCAGGAAGTTAATTTAAACTTTTAAAAAGACATTACATAAAACCCAGCGGTGAAGGCTGCAACGGCCCGCCTCCATTATGCATTCACCATCATGCTTCCGACCAGCGTGATAACAACACAAGGGGAAGAGACTTACAGAAGGCTTATTGTGGTACTATAGTGGAGGGTTTTCAGACCTGACACTAACACTCAAACACTAATTATAAGACTTCCTGGAGTGGCATAAGACGTGGTTTTATTTCATGGAGATTTATACAATACTCATAATGTTAGCAAGTTGGAGTATTATAACGTGGAGATACGCAGAAGCCATATTAAATACTGTATTTTATTTTGTGTTATTAATTAGTATTTTCTAGTAATTGTAGCTGTGTAGTTTGACACACACACACAC